TAAAGAGGATCGGCTTTTGATACATCGTTGGTGATGAAAAGATATTGCTTTCGCCCCCAAAAGTGATGTGAAATTTAGCTGACACCGTAATGGGTCATCTTCCGTGGCGCCGTGGTCTCATGCTACGAGAGACGTAGGTCAGGTGAACAAAATGACGGGGAACTGAACCCACGCGGGACCGAGTACTTTATTGATCACTTAAGTGTACGTAATCAGATTATATTAATACCGTATTTTGTGTTACTTTGTTGCACCATCAGTGAAGATGATTGCATTTTGGTCATGTACCTTTGAAGATACTTAAGCACACTGTATGTGATAGTTGACTGCTGGTTTTCTGCAGTAGTTATAACGAAGAAGGAGCTGAAAAGTCCAGACGGTTGCACTAATAGCTAACACGGTTGATAATTCTACTTTACATGAAAGGAGACAAACCGAATCAAAACATCTATAAGCCGATGAATTTGTTGCTAACTTATATAAGATTTTCACGGAGGTGCCGAAGAATAGGCTTGATATTTCAATATAGCAACGAATGTCAGGTAAGTTTCTGCCTGTGGTTGGTCAGTCTGGTCAGTTTCGATCAGACTTTTCACCCTGCCTACATTTTTTCTGTATCCGATTCCTTGAGAAGCTAGGGAATCGATAAAAGATACACAGGCTTCATTGCGATTATTTAACAGAGTGCAGCGCCTAGTTTTAAATTTCGTGAAGACGCCAGCAAGTTAAAAATCGAAAAACGCGTTCGACAGGGTTGTACAATATCACCGAAGGCATTAATAGCAGCCGTAGAAAGAGTTTTCAAGTCATTTTTGTAAACTCAAGGGCTGAAGATAAATGGGCATTATTCTGATCCTCTCAAGGTCACATTCAAAGAAAGAATCTGAGGTCGGCACGGCCTACATGGAAGTAGCACTGAAGATAATCTGGAGGATTTAGGTGATGTTTAAAATACGAAAATATGGATCCGCGATCTGTAGAAGCCAGTGCACTTAGACTTGAAGAAGTACGAAACTGCGTTTTCGGGGACACTCATCTCTGCAATGGAGAACGCACTCTGTGAAATCAGCAGTCGAATGCAAATGGCTTGGAACACTTCTGAAAAGTAGAAAATGTTTCCATTTGGAAAACATTCCTTATGCTTGAAGCAAAACGTTTTCGGTCAATGTGTGCTTCCTCTACTGACTAATAGATGCAAAACTGGGCTCTAAACCTGAAAATTATTTATAAACTGCAGGCTAATATACGCAGCGTAGGAAGGTGTGTGATGGGAATAAGAGAAATAGGTAGGAAGACAAATGAATGGTTAGCAACACAAACCACAGTTTGCGTTGTTATTGCCTGAGTGAAGAAGCTAAACTGGCACTGGACCGAGCACGTGGCAAGAAGAAGCGATCATCACTCGATCAGAGAGACGTTTGACTGGATTTTGATGGAGGGTATACGGCCCATAGGGAAACCTCTAGGTCGATGGCAAGATGAGCTAAAGAATTTTGCTAGATCAAGATGGATAAATATGGCAGAAAACCTAAGTTTATGGCGAAGTCTTGAAAAGACCTTCACTTTGCAATAGATCGAAAAAAGCTGCTGAAGATGACTGCATAACTTTTAACTTCCAGCTTTTAATATTCAGTCTCAAAATTATTAAGCTGTTGTTTTTACTAATTTTAGGCTTTATTCTGTGTTCTTGCATACGACTTAGTAATAGTTATCATTCAAGTTTATTTTTGCAACCTTCGTTTGCTGGTTTATACATTTCGTTTTGTCACAGGTTCGACCGCTTTTCTGGCCCATGTTCCACCGCCGCATAGGAAGGCACTGGTCGTCTATCCTGTCGTTCTGTTTTACCTGATAATCACATGGATGATTATCTCTCAGAACATTGGTAGCGCTTGATTAAGCGTTTGTTTGTTTCAGGGTACTGTGTGGGTTTGTTCAGTTGTCGGATGATTCGAGAATTACGCTGCCAAAAATTCATGTCTGAAATACATTCATGTATCGAATGCAGTTGGAGTCTGTGTCAGACTTTGCTTTGTTTAACAAGAAGTTTTCACTGCACAACAGGCAGAGCGTTTGCTTGCCTCGTCATAAAATTGGAGATGTATTAAAATTTCTTACCTGAAAGGCTTAGTTTGATGTTCAGCGTTTGCAGTGTTTTGCTGATCATTCTTGCATATTTGGTGCTTCTAGTTTTTTAAATCTACTGATTGATCGAAAGCCTGAATATCTGTCTTTGTGTTGTTTCTGTTGTTTATATATTCCATTCTCTGCGTTTGTTCTTTTGTTTTTTGTTTATAGGTGCCAGAACATTTCGTTTATCGGCTGTCGTTTTGCTTGAGCCTTGCCATAGACCTGGAACGACTGCATAGAAACTTCTCATGACGTTTTACTTCACTCTGCACGCACTGTTATTATGAGGATATGAGACAGTAAAATATCGTTAGGGATTTAAAACTATTTTAACATCGGGCAACATGTATCAAAATATAAAAGTTCATGGCTGCGCACATGGGTCATTATTAACTCTGTACCGCGATCGTTTGTTTACATTATTGTACAAACAGTGCTAAAGAGTCAACTATGGTATTTGGTACTCTGTAGGAGTCCATTGACGTCAGATGAATTAACTGATACATCGGTGATATATGCGTGCATGAGCAAGCTCGAACTGGTTAGCATTTGAATGTTTCCTTATTAATGATAAGCTATCATCAGTGGTTGATTCTCTCTCTTCATATTATATGAAACTTCTGTTAGCTTTTAGAACCTTTATAGTCGTTTTGTGCCTTCAAGAATTTTTAACTGGAAGGGCTTTTTCTTCTGGGTCAGTCGATTTCAGATTGGAGGGCTCAAAATTCTATGTTAGTTAAACACTAGATTGGACTCAGTGAAAAGGTAAGGGGTTCGAACCTTTACTAATATAACAATGCAATGCATGTGTCTGGGCACGCGTAATGAATCTTAAGCCACCACTAATAAATGGAGCTTTAACTTTACAAATTGCCTCCATTCCGTTTGTTAGCAGGGATGTAATATTGCGGTAGCTGTTTAACTCATCTCGGGCCAGTGATGAATTATGGAGTATTTCTCGAGAGAGAAACAGCTTGGTCGATTGTATTTTAATCGAAAATTGTTCATTTTGACGGACTGTTTACAAACAGGAGCGATATTCCTCTTCTGCGTTTTATGATATAAAGGAAAACTGACATAGGTGATATCAGTCTGAGCTCGTCTGTGATAGCAAGTAAAACTTGCAAATAGCGCGACAACTACTTTTGTTCAAGCGTGCCTGATCTACCTCTTCTCTCCCGCCTCCTTTGTTATCTGTGCTGCATATTGGTGCAAGATTGC